ATAAAGTGGTAGCTATTATAATTTTAAATATTAATTTCAGGTGTTCTAAACGATTTTTAAGTCGTGGTCCCCAAACATACAATATTTTTCAATCGTAGAATATTTAATTCATAGATATATTGTATGTTTCATTTATGTTACGTTAAACTATGAAAAATAAACATCGAAATAATAAGGGACAGCAACTATGCCTTTTAATGAAGATTTTTCCGACACTCAAAATTTGACTGTTGACCTTCTGTTCGATTTAAGGCGAGTCCAAATTCTAGAGGGTCAAATCGTTTATGGAATTAAAAAAAAAAACTTTTTATAGAATATATCTTATTGTTGTAATGAAACATTTCTAATTGCTAGAATTACAAGAATAATGAATACTTTATTGTGTGGTTATATAATTATATTGTGTGAACACCGGCTATAAAAAATCAAGCACATTGGATACAATTCTCCCCTGTTTTTATGCACAATATTGCGGATTTAAAAAAAAACCCTTCTCGCAGAGATATTACACTACCACGTTCAAAGTCAGTGAGCTTTTGGTAATTATTTTTTTTTTTATCTTCTTAACGGTGTTCCTTGAGAAATAGCAACTCATTATGTCAACATTTTACTGAAAATAACGTCAACAAAGTATTAAAGCAACCCTGATTTGATTGTTCGCAGTGGTGCTTCTACCGCCAAACTTACATGTCAATCGCAAAATTTGAATAGACATCATTTTTAGTTGTATAAACAAGCCTACCAAATTTAGTAATTTAGTTTGTCACAATTTCTTCCTAGTTTTGGATGTTTTGGATCTATACATACATTATGTCCGTGTGAAATAAAAATTTTGCATGAAGTGAATTGTTGTGAATCTTACTTTTCTTTGTTTTTATCCCTTTTCTTTTTAGTCTTTTTAAGTAAATTTAGGATAATGCTAGAGAGGATATTTCTTACTTTACTGTACCACTAAATCGTTAGGTGGTTTAGTAAGCACAAATTTTCATGCATATATACTTTCTTTGGAAAACAATTTTTAGTAGTGGTTACACAGAAACGATAAATATACAGAATAGACATTGTTTATTTGTAATTTCAAATATCTATAAAATAATTTTTTTTAAAATTCTTTTATCAGAAGAATGTTTCCGTTTCACAAATATATTAATGTGGTATCACAAATGCTTTATTATTAAGATTTATTTTTCAGACGCAAGTTAAAAATGTGACCTACAATATTTTAATAAAATATTTTACTTCAAAAAATAAATTTTGTCTAAACGAAAGTAGTAGTTAATAATAACAAGACGGAAAATTTAAAAAGAGGTAGAAACTCAATTCAATTTTTTGTTTATTAACTCTTTAGTTATTCAATCTTACTACTACTAGGACTTACATTTCAAATTATTCCCTCAAAGCAAAAAAATTTGTTACGTGCTGTTCCTAATAGCGAACTAAAAAAATATGCTTGAAAAAGTTAGTAATTTTATCTGTTTTATTAAAATTTTAAATCTTTATACTCACCATTTTCAGCTTTTTTAGATGTCTTTGCCACCTGTAATAAAGAATATTCATTTGTAAATTAGGGCATTAAAAAATAGGGTATTTGTAAAAAGGGCATTATCTTCATAAAGATAAGAACAAGTGAAGGCCGCTCTCTGCAAAATATTTTGCGATTAAAAAGCTATTAATTCTAAAATCTTCTTCTGAGTTTTTTATTTTTTTTTTAATTTTTGCTAATTCATTTAAAGCCTCATTCCGATATAAATAAAATAAATCAGCATTTCTCATAAATGTTTGAAATCTTTATGTATAGCGGTGAGCAATATCAGCTTTCTTCAAATTTACCAAATAAAGAATTAATTATAGGAGTAAAAATTTTATTGTTTGCAATTGTACAAGTAATTAATCCTACCTACTTCAGGTGAAAGGATTCAAAATCTGATCTTTCGCAAAAATGAATTTAATTAATACAAAATGAAATTATTACAATAGAAGTTTAGAAATGATCTTATAAAAATAAGTGTATACTTTAGTGAAATAATGGCCTAATATGTAATGATACAATTTTTTTTAATAAATAAAGCGTTGAAATATTGAAATTCTCTTTGTGGTAGTTCTGTTTCTACGTATATAAGTCAATTTGACGCGATCGTAATTTAGACAAAATTTTGAGTAAACATGCAAATATCACATCAATAATAAATAGGAATGTACCGACAATACTTCGATCCGTTATCATTTTTCTCAAACGAAACAAGCGATAAACAGCTGTTGCCGATAAGCAATAATAGAAAGAACAAACGCAGAATGTCAATTGATGTCAGAGTTTGAAAGTTTCAGTAGCTTAGTTCGAGTATTGAAAAATAAAATATTAGAATATTTCATAAATATATATCTCATATTTTTCTTTTTTTCTTTTAGTATATAATTACAATGCCTTCTAAGTGCAGAGATCACAACTGCTCCGGACTCGCCAAAATAACTAAAAATACTGTACATAACTACTACGTGAATTTTGCAGCTTGACTTGACCTGATCTGATCTGATCTGATCTGGTCTGGTCGTTGTTGAAATACCTGGCAGCGGGCACCCAACTTCTTGTTAAGTGGTGAATTAAATAAGCCTACGAATTAAATAGAAATATTGGTGGATAAAAATCTACTAAATTGAATTTATTAAACCAAGAACCACAATTGATAAACTATCACTTTAAAATATATATTTATTGTCGCATGTTGGCATCTCTGTAATATATGCATCACCAATTATATCTGTAAATAAGTACCAACGTATATTTTCAAATCATACCTGTATATAATTATCATACTTAAATTGATTGTAATACAAAATGTTTTTAATTTAAATTGCTTGACTTTTAGAAATAGCTACCATAATGTTGTTTAAATCAAAATGTTTTAAATCAATGTATATAATTATTTCATGATGCATGGATGAGGGGTCGCTGCGCGGCCCAGGCACCCAATTTTGGCTAAAGAAAGAAAGAAAGAAAGGTGTTATATGTATTCGTTCATGCGACAAAATGACGCGTGTTCGCAGAGACAGATATATAAGAAACGTCCGTAAACCTAGTGTTAATTATGTTAATCCCTTAGATATTGTTGAATTTCAAAATTAACAATGACAGGCCTCCACCTACTGCGCCTTTTGTAAAATATTTAAGTGAGTGGCTGACATATAAAAACATTAGCTTTTATTGTTTTTGTTATTTTTTCCAACATTGAAAGAGCCTCATTGTACACTTTCAAATAATTTATATTTAAAGGTGCGAAAAATAAATTTAAATGAACTAAGATTTAAAACAATAAAATATTAATTTAGTTACAACTAGAATACATTTTTACAAAAAGTATTAAAAATTGGCAAAGTTGGTAAGTCAAAATTTCTCAAAATTAAAAGTTAGTGGTTTTCAATAAAAATATGCATTAAATATGCTTTTACATGTTTAGTCAAAAGTCAAAATTATTTAAAAGAATCAATTAGCAAAGTTACAATGAAATTTCTTGCATGGAATTATTTCACAAAATAATATCTCGAGAATTACTTAGGGAAAATGAACAATAAAGCTCATCTTGCTTTTCAGTGACATCATGTATGACCCATATGAGACTTCAGCCACACGCACGTCAGAGCCCATTTTAGAGAACGGTCCCATTCATATATAATTCATCCACATATCGTAATTTTAATCTGAACCAGAAAACGACCAATCTTCAATTCAGTACCCACAGACAAATGTTTCTTAAGGGAGCATGGACGACTTTGCTACAGATTTAATGTGCACCAGTCCCCATTTACTACAAGGGGAGTCTTCCAACCGGGAGTATCGAACTCACTACCACCTAGACATGGATTCAACGCCCTATTTACCAGGATATCCCGGCCCAAGAAAATAAGTAATATTCCTAAGGAGAATGACGTAACTAAAAAAAAAAGGTATGTCTTTTCTTTCTTCATTGTTTACGTCAACGAGAAAAAATTCTAAAATTACCCTTATATTAGATTGCGTGAAAATTAACATAGAGCATAAAATATATAGAGTGCGTGATAAAATTTTGGAAGCGGTCAAATATCCCGAGAAATGTACATCTTATAACAAAAAAAGTTGTTTTTTAGATTGTTTTAAGGCTGAAAAAAGTACACTTGCATAAATGCCAACTACTCCGGACAGCGGGTACATATTTTTGATTGGTAGTCTTTTAATGAATTATTTTTGGCTTAGAAAATTCGATTTACAGGATAAATAATAATCGCCAATATTTCTAAATAATTCAAAGGCTTATTTGGTACACCAGTTAATTACAGTTAAGCCTCCAACTCTATTATGTAAATATTTTTATGTATATTTGTGAGACATTTCTCTTTCGGTTCGTTTTAAGGAAATCCTCAATAAGGATGACAAAGGATTATTTCAGGTATAAGCATTTATTTCGTCATCTCTGGATTAATTATGAGTAAAAAGATAAAATATGAGTATATACATAATCTGCATGGCATTCAAAGTCCGGAGCTCTCCTGCTCCCTTCCAGTTCATACTTTATCGATCATAGTCCAGCTAATACTCAACTCTTCTACGTTCAAACTAATACTGACTAAAAATCCTCTTTCTCACAAGAAAAAGTCCTTCGCTCCACCCCCAATGTAGGGGACGACACTTCCAGTGTCCTTCATCCTCTGACCCTCAGGTCAAAGGGTCAATCAAATGCGTGGGAGAGGAATCAGGATCCTGACAATATTATTCGAACTTTCGGTAATGTACCTGGATATATTATCACTTATTAATCGAATTTTGTTTTCTCTCGCAAAGCGGGTATGTCGTATAATAGAACTTCATTAAAGCATCAAATTTGTATAGTTTTGTTTAGCATTTTAAATTGTTGGTTTGAATCTGGAGTAGTTGGCATCTCTGCACTTGAATTATCTATCTATATTATATAAAACGCTAATACGTACGTATGTACAGTCCGCAAAAAAAAAAAAGATATCACCCTGAATAACTTTCGTTCTAATGATCCGATTTTCACGAACTAAGTGTCAATCTTAATGGTTCCTGGGGGTGACCTCAAATATGCTAATTAATTAGTGCTAACTATTAATTAAGTTACGAAATCAGACACAAAAACGTACTTTCTCTGAATAAACAT